TGGAATAATTTTGTAGCATCTGGCTATCCCCGGCGGAGTCGGCGTTACCTTCAGCATTTATTTTGCTGAAGCAGTTTCTGCACTACAGCAGTTCAGGTAGAGGGAGCTCTTGCTCAAATGAACTACCCAAATACTCAAGATCTCGGCATGAGATATTCAATGATAATGTCAGTTTCGGCAGTATTCCCCACAGAGTTACCAGGATAAGTTTCTCTTTATTTCCAAGCAGAGCTATTTGTCATCAAGGGGTTCCATGAATAAGAATTTCAGAGACCACCACCGGTCAACAGAGCAGGCATCCGGTAGTTTGGTTCCCAGATATCCCCAGTAGAGTCCGCCTCAAAGTCGCTGTCACGTCGGTGCTAAGAAGTTTGTGGGTGGGGATCAATGGAGAACTAAGTCCTGACGTGGACAACTTATTCCTATATTGACGGGATTTTTTTTAGAAGTGGGCGTCCTAACGTGGACAAATTTATTTCCCCGGGTTGATAAGATGTGTTAGTCCTGACGTGGACAGATCAGAGGAGATGTGAGTCCTGACGTGGACAGGTTTTATTCCCCCAGCGGGTCGAAAATGGAGTCCTGACGGGGACAAATCAAGACGAAACATGGGTCCCGACGTGGACGAATCTATTCCTTACATGGAAAAAGAGGCTTCAGTTCCTTACGTGGAAGAGCAAGTTCATTCCTTACGTGGAAAGATGGGAGTCCTTACGTGGACAGATTAAGATGGTGTCCCTGACATGGGAAGGTGGGTCCTAACGTGGACGATGTTCTCCTTACGTGGAAAGACGAATTTATTCCTTACGTGGAAAGAAGTGGGTATTCCTTACGTGGAAAGATGGAGTCCTTACGCGGACATATCGAAATGGATTCATTACGGGGAAACAAGTGCATTCCTAACGTGGAAGAGTTTAGTCCTGACGCGGACAGATCAAAGGAGTTATTCCTAACGTGGAAGAAGAAGATAGATTCCTTACGTGGAGAGATTGGGGTCCTTACGTGGACGGATTCAAGAAAAGTTGATTCCTGACGAGGAAGAATGATGTACTCCTTACGTGGAAAGGTGAGTCCTAACATGGACAGGTTCAGAACCAAAGTTGTATTCCTTACGCGGAAAGATCGGAGGCCTGACGCGGACATGTCGAGTGGTATTGGGGTCCTTACATGGACAGATTGATATAGTTCTCCTTATGTGGAAAGAAGATCGCTTCCTGACGTGGAAAGATGGAAAGTTTAGTCCTGACGTGGACAGATGCAGAAGAGATGATTCCTTACGTGGATGGTGTTATTCCTAACGTGGAAGAGTCCATTCCTAACATGGACGATTTGTTGGAATATCCCCTATCGGAGTTGCCGAGATTTTTCTGGGTTAACAGCAAGTGGAGTCCTAACGTGGACAGGTTTTAGTTGAGATTTCTTCGTATTGATGACAGACAGAGTCCTAATGTGGACAAGCAGGCAATCTGTTATCCCTAGCGTGGTCGTTACGAGATCAGTGAGCGGCTGCAAGCAGTCAGATCCAGGCAGTGGATGTCGTTACCCCAAGCAGGGGTGCAGTTTATTTCTGCGGTTGGCAAATTTCCGGGTTTCTTAGTATTCAACCGTCTCGTACCGCGAATGTCTGAAGGCTCCGGGCTCTTCACCCAATCGGGTCCAAGTCGCTTGAATAGGGGCAGCTGTTGCACCCTAGAATTTGCCCAACCTTATTCATTTGGTTTATGTTTCAATATCATTAGCATTTGCATATAGAGCCATGTACATAGACTAACCATCTGCATAGCATAAGCATAGCAAGTCATTCAACAGGGGACCAATCATTATTCTCATCTCTAGAGGCCTATCAAGAGGATATTATCCTAATTCCATCTCATTCAAGTCATCAGAAAAGAATTTGAGAGCAGAGAGTTCAGCAGATCAAGCCTTGAGTCTATCTCCCATCTGAGGGTATCTGAGGGTCAACAAGGGAACTATGAGTTGTGAATTGAGAGTATGGGGAGTATCTAGACATCATGAGAGGTTTAGAAAGTCATTTGGGGAAGAAAACAAGTTGTTGAGGTGATCACAAGAATTGCAGTTGAAGACAGTCAACTAGGGGGTTTCATCTGGGTCAACCCTAGGTCAACCCTAGGTCAATTGATTGATTTAAAGGCATTAAGGGCTATTGGAGAAAGGTGGGGTTCATCATTTGACATGGAGAATAAGGATATGTTGTCATGCTAAGAAGAAATCAAGAGAAATCAAGGAGAAGAGGAGTTTCTAAATTAGGGTTTCTATGTAAAATCCCCTAGTTTAGGTCAAATTTCCAAGCAAGATAAGTCAAAATGCAAGCCTCAAATGGATCCTTGGCCAACATGGAACTTGTAGAGGATCTCAAGACCTTTAATTTGAGTGGTGGAAGACATCAAGGAGATTTATAGAACTCAAGTTATGGTCCTTGCAAGTTACAGGTCATCAGAGGTATCTGAAATTTTGTCTGTGAAAGTGACTTGACTTCCAAGCAATTTTTACCCCTCAAGGAGATTTCAAATGAATTTCTGGTCAACATAAGAATTTTTCCTC